TGGGCTTCTGATCCTTCAGGGAGAGGACAGCTTCTAGATCTTTTGGGTCGATGCGGACACCATCCTCCGAAACTAGTCTCCCCACATACCTGACTTCTCTCTTGAAGAGCTCGCATTTTGCCGGCCTCAACTTTACTCCATGATGCCGCAGCACTCTGAGAACTCTCCTTAGCCCCTGAACATGGTCACTGAACGTTTTTCCATAGCAAAGGATGTCGTCGAGATACGGGATACATAATTCGTCTCTCAGCGAGTCCAGCATCCCCTCCATACTCCTCTGGAATGCCGCTGGTGCATTAGCCAATCCGAAGGGTATGCGCACCCACTCATATAACCCCCAAGGGGTTGTGAATGCCGTAAGGTGCCGATATCCCTCCGCCATGAATCCCTGATGGTAGGCCTTTCCCTGATCCAGGATTGAAAACCATCGGTAGCCTCCCAGGGTGTCAATGAGGTCCTGGATCCGAGGAAGTGGATGTCGGTCTGGGACTGTCTTCTGGTTTAACAATCTGTAGTCTATGCACAGTCTCAGCGTGCCATCTTTCTTCCGAACGCACACCACCGGGGCTGCATATGGAGACTTCGACTTGACCACCCAACCACGAGCTAGTAAGTCCTGAACGTATTCCTTCACCTCCTTATATAGAGGTTTAGGGATGGAGGCATAAGCTCGCTGAACAGGGATGTCGTCCTTCAGGTTAATCGTCATCTGTAAGCTTGGGATGCACCCAATATCATCATCTCCACGAGCAAACACATTGGATTCTTGGTAAAGCATGTCTTTGACTAATTTTTGCTGTTCTTCTTCGAGATGGCTTACATCGACCGGTGGATGCCACAAGCTGTCTGCCCTGTGGACGTCCTCATGTTCTTGGGAACCTGTTTCCTCTACACGGCTCACTGGTAAGTCACCTCTGTTTACCAGGTCTTGCTGCTCCGTTTCAATGATGCTTGATATTGGCTGAATACTTCCTAGAGGTGTATGCCGTCTGATAGTGACTTCACAAGCAGTAGGGTTTCCCAGGGGTATCCTAACATAGGGCCGCCGGTCTGTTCCCTCTAACTCCATTAGACCTTCTCCAACGTCTAGTTCAGTTAACAATGTACCCCCCTCACTGGACTCAAACAGTACTACTGGCTCAGAGCATTCCAAGCTAACTGAAACTTCACACTTAATATGGGTCACCTGACCGGGTGGTACGACCACATCTCTAGGGCCGACTGTGACAATAGCCCCGCGGTTCACATTGGGTTGTTCCTGAATGAAGCTCACTATCGCGTTGGCTTGTTCACCTTTGATGTCCAGGGCCATCGTTAGGAGTTCGGCAAAAGCACATAGACCCTGCTCTGTGTTCTTTTTTCCTCTTATTATCTCCTCGACCACATTAAAACCCAGCAATGGCCGTTCTAATGGCATCTTCCCCACGAGGAAAGGCACTTGAATAGCCAAACTTGGATCATCATTCCCGGGCAGGTTCACTGTCAATTCTACCCATCCCTCGAATGGCAATGGTTCTCCATTAACAGCTGAGACACTGAAGTCGCCCCCATCGACTATTTCTGACAGTGGTCGTAGAGCTTGATCTGGTAAGTATTTACTCTTCCAGTTGCAGTCGATTATACTAACTTGCGCTCCTGTGTCCAGTAGAGCAGTCACTGCAAATCCATGAATGTGGCACTTGAGGGTGGCTTTCTTTCCAATGAGCTGGGCTACTCGGTCACAGGAACTTTGTCTTTGATTTGGCGAATCAAGTGTCCTACCCATCCAAGCTTCTCTTTCCTTAGGCTGGAGCTGTGGTTGCTCGGTCACTGTTCGCCCCTCATCAGTGGCCGCTGGTCGTTTCCCGACCCCTTTTCCCTTCTTAGACAGCCCACCGCACGATGTCCTTCCTCACCACACACAAAGCAATGACTGCAAGAGGTAGCATCCTTGCTACTACATTTGGGACACATTCGTCGACGTTGCCTTCGCTGCAGCTGGGAGTCGATGACTTTGCACTGACCTTCTGTCGTTCTCGCCTTTGCAAGTGATTCAACGGTCTTGGTAAGGGCTTCAATTTGTGCACTTAATCGGCGAATCGTCTCGGTTTGGTCGTTTTGTCTACTGCAATCTGAGTCTTTACCTCGGCTGGACTCCCACTGGGCGCTGAGAGCATTCGACGCTCTCTGCCGTGCAGCTTGTCCCAACCGACGTTGTCTTTCACTTTCGTCACTGGCTATCTGGGTTACTTGGCGCAGGAGTGCCTCATCTGTCACCAGGCGATTCGTAAGCAGAGGTTTCAATTCAGTGCGTAATTGGTTGTACTTTGCACCCATGCCCTGATAAATCGTCCTCAGAAACACATTTTGTATTGTTTGTTCATCATACTCCAGGTCTGTGACAGCTTGTTTGGACAGGAAAATTAGTTTCTGTTTCAGTCCAATCAGTCTATACAGGAATTGTTGAGGAGTTTCATTGTCATTCTGTTTACCGCACATTAACTCCTGGAAGAGCTCAGAGCTACTTCTCTCATTCAGATGCGACTGGAGGAAACTCTTTAACTCTAGGATTGTTAGTCCCTCCTTGTTTACTAACATGTCCTTAAAGTTTCCTGGCTTAATGACTCTCAAGACCCCTCTGATGATGTCATTTTCACTGTGGTTAGCCGCAAGTCCCTCATCTATTTGCTTGGTTACACTTGTATAGCTTATATCAGAAGTACTGTCACCAATCTGCCCCCCCTGAACTTTGAACTCTCTGTGCTGAAATGGCAGTAACTGAAGGTCACGGAGGGAGATCATACTTTCCCTTTTTCCACTGGTGGGCTCACCAGCTACATTCACAGGTAAGCTACCGCTACTTTTAAGAGATTCTGCTTTACTTGGATTAGCTTCAATCTTGTACTGTGCTAATTTTCGCCCTAATTCTTCATAGCAGTCTACCAACCGGTTATACTCCATCGGCTGTGCCTGCGTGTCAGTGGGGGGTGTAAGTTGTTGTGGTGGTGTAAGTGGGACAGTGTCATGCAAAACTGGTTTTACATTCTGTTTCTGAATTATCACATCAACATTGTCTTTTAACAGTAACAACTGAGACAACCCTCCATCTTCTAATTCCAGCAGACAATCACTGTTCATGTACTCAACAATATACTCAAAGCAACACTCCTCATCAGTTATATCCAACCTGTGCTTTCCTGGTGCTGCAGTTGGCTCCAGACAATCCATCAGGCTGATCAGTTCATCATGGGTGAGTTGATGCAGTCTTTTCTTGATTTCCCAAACTGTTGCTTTTCTCTCGCTCGAAGTCATCTTGTCGACGATCCAGCTGCTGATGGGTTCACGCTTGACTTGTACCACACTGCACTACTCCTCAGCCAGGAAAGCCTTTCACCACCGTGCTTTGGTTCTCCTGCCGCCGTTGAGCTGCCCTTTGTGGTCCTCACGCTGATCACCCGTCACTCAGCCCTTCTCTGGTTCATTTGAATTGGATCCGCATACCAGCAGGTGGCGCTAGATCCCGGACGAGCCCCCAAAATCTGTAGCATGCCCGTCGTCCGACTGGCGTTGCTGCAGTAAATTATTTCTGTTTAATAAAACAAGGAGACAGACAAAGTTGTGCTGTTATCTGCAGTCTGAGTCGCTCTGTAATGGCTTTATTACAATAATGACAAAGTAATGTCTAAATCTTGTACAAATATATATGTCACAATGTCTTGTCACCTTATATGTGACTATATCAAACAATATACCAATAAACAGGTTGCATCACACTTGTAGTGTCTTTCTTTTTATACTCAAATAGTAATTTTCCCCCAATAACTCAATACTCTCTCCCTTAAAACATACAACACCATGTTACAGTCTCTGTTGTCTGTGCAAATATGTCCTACTAAATACTGTGTAACTAAGATAGATGAGCAAAACATTTAAACTGAATTACAGTACTGAATTACAGTAGAGTACAGCAGATAAACTAAATTGAAAGATCATTAAACATTCAAATATCAACAGTAAACCCTATAATATAGTATGCAAAGATATATAACATTCAACAGTTAATATTACAAATATATGTATCTACAAATACATACTTCTGTCTTATAACCCTTGGCGATTTCTTTACACATCTCTTTTAATGCTCTAAACAACATAAACATCCCATTAGTTTGGGTTTTCAGTGTGCTGGAGCCTTTAACCATTTATATTAGACAATATTAATACCAGGCCTAACGCGGGACGGCCGCGAGTGAAACTTAACTTTCATAAACAAAACACGGTCTCTAATTAACATCTTATCTTTACCCAGGAAATATATAACCCTCTCAAAACAATGAATACACGGTCTCAACATATTACATCATGTTTTTTTATGTCCTTGGTGATTGATTTCACCCACCTGTTTAATAAAACAAGGAGACAGACAAAGTTGTGCTGTTATCTGCAGTCTGAGTCGCTCTGTAATGGCGGCTTCTTCCCCGCGACTCAGTTACTCACATAGTCCCCGATCAGCACACTGTCTCCACCTACTGTCCACTGTGAGTATCACTCATCACAAATTCACCATAATAATTGAAGCAAAAGTAACTGAAACAATATCATAAACACAATAAAATAAAATAAAATACATACAGAAAAAATATAATTATTCCTGTGACAATACATTCAGGGTGTCACACCAACTTTCTGTTATACCCGAAGATATCATAATACGAGAAAAGTGTATTATTATTAAAACATCTTTAAAATATTTTCTTTTATGTCTTATTTTCTATACTTTACAATTATTATTGCATTCCTGTAACTTAAACAGTAGATCATTCCCAGGACATGTATCAAAAAATACATTGAAAGCAGTCGATTTGGATGAAAGCGTGTCAAATACATAAATGTAAAAAGTATATATACATATACACATACTGTGTATACTGTATAATACACACACACACACATATATATATATATATATATATATATATATATATAAAATGGTATATATTATTTTTATTTTTTTTAAAAAATCCATTTAAGAATGCACATTTTCATCTAATACAAAACAATTTCCCGTTTTGCAAAAACGAACATTATGTCATTGTTCAGTTGAGAAAATTAAGCTGAAAGACAGGCATCACTATGAATCATGGAGGTGTACAGAGAGCCTGGCACCATCACAAAAAGGGCATGATATTTTTTGATTCATGATGTCAATTCGCAGTTTTATTCAAGTAGACTGACTCTGAAATCATCTATCTTAATATATGCAGTTCCCTTAGGATCTCTGAAGCTCTCGTCTCACTGTTGCTGCCAGACTAAAAGTCTTCATCTGCATTCACGTCTGCTTCTCCATCTTCCGACTCCTGCTCTTTTCTCAGTTCTGCCCTGCCCGTCTCAGTCTGATAATAGTCTGACTCAATCCACCCGGGGCAATTGGACAACGTCACAAAGATGTCTTCGTCTACTTCCATCACTTTGTGCACTCTTTGCTTTATGCCTTTGGAATACCACCGCGGGGTAGGGTTTTCTTCCAAGGGGTTTTTGGCCTTGTATAACCCCTCACCTTCAGCCAGAGAGATCTTATACTTGTGCTTTGGGCATACAATACAGTGCTTGTTGTTGATTTCCTATGCATGAAACATTAAACAGGGTCAGAGTTCAAATGGGAGGTAACAAAGCGTTTCAAGTGCTTCTATGGATCACTGAATGATTCAGCTGCTTGAGCAGTAATGGTTTTACCTCAATATCCCCTGTCTCCAAGCTACTGCCAGCATCTGTTTGAAAAAAAAAAAAAAGTGTCATTAGCAGACATATAGAATCATCAGACCCGAGAAAATGACCTCTGGTTCTGTGCTTATGCTGTTAGTATTATAGTTGGCACACATGCTCAACAGCAATGCTTACAGTGCTCAGTCTGCTAGTTTGTCTCCCTCTAGTGCAGAAAAAACAAGCAAAGATGCTTTTCATGCTACTCACGGTAACACTGCAGGTCCATTGCATGGAAAGTTCTCTGATGATATATAATAAGAATGTCTCTTCCGTCCAGAGTTACAGTCATTCTCTTGGCCTGAATGAGATGATCTTTCTTGCCGATAAAATACAAACGAGAAGGCTTCTTTTCATCCATGGATGTGGTGGGGTTTTAATTATGTCTTCTGTGGAAACAGTTTTATAAATACAACTCACTTATTTCAACGCAATCCACCAACTAGTCAACAAAATTTATAATAAATAATTTCAGTGACACTTTACAATATATATGTGTGTGTGTGTGTGTGTATATGCTTTGACAGTATGTATATGTATATATACTTTCAAATCATATATATACACACACTTATATATAAAATATGTGTGTGTGTGTATATATATATATATATATATATATATATATATATATATATATATATACTTCGACAGTATAAAACATGTAACAAAGTTTGTAAATATATGTGTGCATGTATACATGTCTAGCATATATATATATACATACACACACTGTCAAGCATATACGCACACACACACATTATATATTTACAAACTTTGTTACATGCGATTAATAGATGTATAAATACACACACACACACACACACACACACACACACACACACACACACACACACACACACACATCATCAAAATAAAAAGTTGCCTGCATATTAGGCTTTTTTTCAAAGTACCAATGTTTGTGCAATATTATATAAACCATAGGCCTTCTAGTTACAAATACAATAAAATATACAAAATTCTAAATTTATATTATATACTATAACATTTTGTATAGCCTGATATTGTTCTAAAGTGAATACAAATAGGCCTATAATATGTCCAATATCTATAAGATAAATCAGCTAGGCTTCTCAATCCACGTGTCAAATCAGTTAAAAAGACAAAATGCATTAGCATTTAACACATTTAATCCATCATTTAAATTAACTCTTTAACTGTACATATATGCTAATGTATATGGACATTGCGGAGCAAAAATTTTAAACAGGTTTACCTTGTCTTCGTCTTGGTCGTTGTGAATCTTGTGAAATGTGCGTCCAGTAACGTTTAAATGTCTTCTGGTCTGAAGGATCCCGTTATCTCAAGCCCACCGGGTGTTGCGTCCAGCACTATCAGCCCTGCAGATCAGGACCGATCAGGACCCACTCAACGCGCTCAACATTATCTATGTTTCATGTATAAAACTTAACGTCACATCATTAACTGACAGATTAATACACTTCGAGATCTAACATACCAAAAGGAAGTTTTAAAAAGTTGCATTTGATTGTAATTTGCTCAACTATCTATTAGTGGCATCATATCACATTATTTAAACCAATTATTTATTTTATATGTATTAAATAATACGTCCTTTCCCATCCAAATGAAATAACATGTTATACATGTTTTACCTTTAAAACAGACAATAAAATGCATAGACTCCTATTATTTAAATTACCACGTAGGGAGCCAATCAGAGAGCGACTCAGACTGCGTACTGTTGTACATCATTTATGCGCCACAGCTGCGCAGCTGCGCCATCAAAACAGAAAGTAGCCTTCATATTTAGCTCGTTTACACGTGTCATTCGCTTATTAATGAACAAGGTTATGTCTAATTTGTTCTAAACAACAAGGAACATTCTATCATTACCGGCTAGACGTAAGTAGAATCATTTCTTAAGTTAAAACAAGCCATAACTTAAGAGTGGCTATTGAATGGTGTTAGCCTGCTGATAAGGAAGTACATGCACTTACGAGTCCAATTTAGTTCATTATTATTTCTAACCCACAATTTGTTATTCTAAGATGTAAAAACAAAAACAAAAAAATCATCAAATATCTAAAGGATAAATCAGCCACAGTGTTTCCCCTACCATTGTCGACCGGACAATTCTTCTTCCATGTTTTAATTTTAACAGTAAAGTTCATTGTGCAGCACTTTGTTTGACAAAATGTTTGTTTAATTTCATATTATGAAAAGAAATTAAATTAATGTTTTATGTCTTCATTTGATTACCAAAAAAAACAAAAAACAGAATGTGTCAAACAACAAAACAACGCAAGAATTGCTCCGAAATTTTGCTCATAAGTTTAGTTTTTTTAAAAATAAATGTTCTTTATATTTATGTACCAAATTTATGTGCACTCTTGTCATTTCAGCTCACTCTAAAATGCACCGATACAAACAACCGCTTCTCAAACATTGTCTCATCTCAAATTATGATTTGAATAATTATATGATTTTAATAAAGAAAGTAAAGTGAAACATGTTCTATGTTAAAACTATAATTGACAGTTGCATGTGCTTTACTAGAGTGTGTATTTCCAGGTCATGGCATTGCGGGCATGTGGATTTGTCATTTTTCGGCGTTTGGCCCAGCACCCTCCCCCTGATAATATAGAGTTCCTGCTGCTGCAGACATCCTATGGAGAACACCACTGGACACCACCCAAAGGTGCATCTCACAGTTTCTCATTATGCTTTTTAGTGTTGAACTCACTGGACTATCAATTTCTTTTGAAACCACAAGCTTTACCTAGTAATGCCAATTTAAAAGAACATATTAGAGATTATTTTCAACATAAAGTCTATCTCTACTAACAGAAAATGAGTCCATAAAGCATTATCAGAAGTTCCTCCACCTATAAATATCCTCACTTGAAATGAAGATTTACACGAATTTACAGATGATAAAAAAATAATAATTTTGCTGAGGAATTAAAGTAAACCACAACCGCTGCCACAAGTACTTGAAGCAGCGGTTGTGCACAAGTAATGACAAGTAAGTAAGCACAAGTAAGTGATTAAAGGTAGGGTAGGCAGTTTTCGGAGTGGCTAGCAAGAGCAAGCTAGCTTTGAAAGTATAAGATCCCACCCTCCCTTCAGAGCATGAGACGAGAGATGGCGTTAAACTGCATCATGTCTCAAACCACATGTCATTACAATAATAATGATTATAAACAGCTTAAAGAGCACTGACCTGTACCATCTGACTGCTGCAGATTCATTTCGGCGTCGTTAGTGTTGCCATTGAAACGCATACATTTGAGTCACACACCGCTCCGAGTATAACGTCACAGGTTTCCATCTCTTCCAAATTACAGTAGTTATGGTGTGAAAGTAGCATAAGCTCATTGTTTTGGTTCAGGAGGAACTGTAAAAGCTGCTGTTTCGGTTACGGTGCTTGGTGACTGATGTCTGTCTAACTCTGTATAGCATGAAACGCGCTAATGACGCGTGATGTCTGCGCGAGCCGGAGGTATTAAAGTACATACGTTGACAGGCAGGTAGGACATCGTATCATTGCATTCGGGGGCGAACATTTTATGGTCCTACGCCTTCCACAGACGATATACTGTATACACATATAAATACATTTAGACCACTTAACTTAGTGACCTACCCTATCTTTAAGTCACATGCCCAGAAGCAAAGAGAGAGAGGGACTAATTCTACAAAAATAACAAATATGTAGAAGGTAAATCATCTACAATAGGTCTTCTCACACACTGCAACATGTCAAGATATCCACCATGTCAACAGACACTAATAAGCACGAGTTAAACATTTAAAAAATTTAACAGTGTATTGCTTTTTTCTATTTTAAATATGAATATATATATGTATATTGTTTTAAAATCAACCACAACTTTTTACAGTTTGTCACATGGCCTATCTGTAAAACCATGTGACTATATCTGCAATTTCTTAGTATTGTTACTGGAAGAATAACATTGTCCTCCCCCTTTTAAGGTCATGTTGACCCTGGAGAGGACGACTTCACCACCGCCTTGAGAGAAACACAGGAAGAAGCGGGTTTAGGTAAAGATCACCTGCGTATTGTCGATGGCTTCCTGCAGAGGTTGCGCTATCAGGTCCGGGGAAAGGACAAAGAAGTTCTCTACTGGTTGGCAGAGCTCCGTGACCCAAACACACAGGTCATTCTCTCAGAAGAACACCAGGATTACCGCTGGGCAAAACTAGAGGAAGCCTGCAAGCTGGCAAAATACCAGGACTTACAGGACACACTTACAGCAGCACAGCGGCATCTAGAAACACAGGGCAAACAGTAACATTTCCAATTGGATTTGACATTTAGACACTGACAGTGTTGAATACATGCATTCATCTTTATAAAATTGTTATAGTGAAAATAATATATGTGTAAAGAGACATTTGACATCCGTCCTTTTTGGTCCCAAGCTTTTTAGGTCACTACTTGCTAAGCTGAATTTAATTTGAACTCATAATAAATTGCTTTCACATAGTTAAAAATGTTAAGATAAACTCTCAACCACTAAATCTCCACCAACAAACAAAACAAAGCTGCCATTCATTTCAAAGAATGCTCCGGGTTCAAAGGAAGTTAAGCTCTAATGACGCCAAGCTGCTACATATTCAATTCAATTTTCTTTTTCTGTGGTAATCAACAGTGTGCCTCATAAAGCTTGCATTGTATTTAACCTGAAAAATGTCTTTAAGGCAAGTCTTGTGAGAGAAGACAATGTGGCCTTCGGTCACTTTTTATACACCTAACTATCCAATCTAATTATCACTTTTGTTTCCACAAAAGTTTCTCTGCATACTGTACATCTTTTCCAAGTTGCAGTTTAGGTGACCAGTAATTAAGCAAGTGAATCAGAAATTATTTAGGAATTGTATGCAAGTTATTTTGTGGACTCCTGATTCATGCAGATTGTCCTAAATTAACTATAATGAAGCCAGTAAATAAAAAAACCAATGCTCATGAACCAGTGCTGTCGTAGTATTATTTATATATTACAGTTTTAAATAATATTTAAAATTAGCTTTTATTTTTATGTTTTCATTTTAGTTAAATTATTTTTAATTTTATATGTGATTTTGTATTTTTTTTTATTAGTTTAAAATATATATATTTCTAAATTATTTTAGTACTTGCATTTAAACTTTAGTTGCTAAGGTTAGTTGCTTTATTTCAATTAACAAAAAAGTTTTTAATAGTTGTCATTAACTGAAAGCACCTATAAATGTGTTGTCTAATGGTTTAATTGCTAAGGAGCATTAACTCCTGTACATACACACAAACAAAAATGAATTGAATTGTGATCATACAAGCACAGTCTTAAAATGATCATACTGGACATCCCCACCCACCCAGACCCGCACCCTCACCCTCACCCTCACCACAAAACTCAAATACTTATGTTTAGAATAGAAATAGGTATCAATTTAGATTCATTCTTACTGTTTTCCCATTCTTCTTTACGTGAATCTTTAGAATGATATTCCCTTTAACAACATTACAAGAAAAAGGAAATGCATTGAACTTAAGAGCAAATAATGAATTCGGCTGTTTTTATCAGGACCACAATTCCTGTCTAAGAATTAGCATATGAAAAACAAAAAATTCTTAATGAAACATTAAAAACACAATCATGACACAAATAATAAAATCCTTCAAGACAAATCCACTGTCGACTAATGTCACAACACTTTGAAATGAACTTGGTTGTTTTGCTGTGCACAGGGGTGTTAATACACCGAGTCTCTTGCTGAACGTGAAAAATCCAGTCCGTTTTAATCGATTCACGTCCCTGTTGAGCCACCTTGGCTCATAGTCCAGAGGTTCAAGAGAGCGATTGAGTCTGGAACGATTGTTCTCGATAGTTCAGTGAGTTCCAGATGCTCGGCAAAATAAGAGAGCACCGTTCCCTCAAGATCCTCAGATCCACACTCCCTTTTGGAGGGGTTTCGTAGGACGAGGAATCAGCATCCGTGTCCTTGGCTGGTTTGCGGGAATAAAGGTGTACCTGAGACCCCATGTGCATAAACGTATACGCTTCCACCCCCATTAATGAGACCTTAGGGATTCGCGTGCCTCATTGGATGATTGACACATCATATAAAACACATTAAAACACACAAGCATGCTCTTGAAAGCTACGGCCCACCGTGGCCAACGCAAAAAAAGCATAAGACCGGGGATGAGAGGGCTCACATTGGTAAGCGAAATGTCCTCAGCAGTCACTGATCTCAAACCCCGAACTTAAACACCCAAGATTATCCTCAAAATCAGTGAGGAAAAGGAGAAATAGAAATGGTTTGGTACAGCAGCTCAGACAGTCATACGTGATCACTTACCAAGAGTATGTGTACGCTTAAAAGCATAACAGTATGATTACCTTCAGCCAAAATCGGTGGATCAAATATTCGGAGCCAAATGTGGGACATCATCGTAGTGACTTAAACAGTCTCATCATAGTTTCTGGGTCAGCGATTGAAGGTGTGCTGGAAGTAGTTGTAACGCTTGTGTTGCTGAGCACTTGAAAGCACCTTCATGTGCCATATAATCTGACACCGTGATTTAGTGGCTCAAAAAGCTTAAGTGATTTGGGGGTACGAGCTGCGCATAAAAGGGTGTATGTAGTTAGTAGTTGTGAAGGTGACCCTGCTGATGTGGATGGCTGGTCAAAATGATGACACTTAAATTGTATGAGGAAGAAACAGTCTATTCATTGTCCATTTTTTCCACCCTTGAATACTTACCTTTTTTGTGGAAAATTGCTAATTTAGGTACATACTGTAGAGTGGAATCAGTGAAGCCCTATACTGTAAAGACAGTTATGAAGAATCTGTACATACTTGAAAATCTGGGAAAAGAACAGAACATTCATTTGTTGGTGATTTTACCAGACATAACAAGCTAATGGTTGAGTTTAAAGGGTTAGTTACCTCAAATATATATATATTTTTTATCATCATTTACTCACCCTCATGTCATTCCAAACCTGTGTGGCTTCCTCGATTCAAACTGGCACACTGAATTCGGTTACGAAACACGCAAGAATCAAGCAAATTTGGCACATAAATGCTTAAATGAAATTTTAGAATGAATAACAACTTAAGTTTTGGCCTATTCCTATTCTGAAGCCATCGTATGGCTACAAAATATTTAGAATAAAGCTCACTAGTCATACTATTATGGTGTTTTTTGTGTCGTTTTAGGAGCTTGTCTGAAATCACTGAAATAACGAAGAACGAACTTCGCAACTGTCATGTTACTTGTGAACGGCAGTGAAGCAACACAGCTGACGCCACAACTTCTCTCCCATGGCCTCATGGGATAGTAAAGCGTCCATCAGATGCTCACTTTAGAATCTCGCTGGAAGTAGTAGGTCATCCGGATATTTACTGTATCAATACTATGAATTCAGACTTACTATTTTCATGTATGGAGCTACACCTACTATATAGCAGGAAAGTAGGCATATTCGGAGACAGGGATTTTTAGTTATAATTTTTAAGAAAAAGCAGCTCAAACATCCTTCAAAATAGCAATTTTTTTGTTCCACGGAAGAAAGAATGTCCTACAGGTTTTGGAACAACACGAGGGCGAATAAATCATGACAGAATTAAAAATTTTGTGGGAACTAGCCCTTAAAGTTTTTAATATTTTTTTTTAAATGAACATGTTTAAGGTGGCCTGACAAGCTCTGAATATCCAAAAGCCCTGAGGTTAAGAGGCAGGAGAAGGTGGGATGTGAAATGTAACTACAAATGACTGGTTTTATGAACCCATGGTGTACTTTACTGAGGAACTGGGAGGTGCTATAAGGACAGAGATCTGAAGGGTTTTCAGAGTGAAAAATGAAAGCTTTAAGCATAGGAAAAGAGAATCTGAAACGTGAGGCTGTCGGGGTAAAGAATAGTGAGAGGGCGAAGGTCAGTGTCACGCAAACGGTGGAAGGAGGTCAAGACTCCTCATTGCCAGAGTCGTCTTCGTCGCCAAAACAGTCCCCGGCCATTTCGCTGCCAATCCCAACGGCCTCTGCCTCGTCATCCTCATCCTCATCCTCCTCTATATCGTCGTCATATAGATCGTCGTAGAGCAGGTCGGAGCTACTGTCGTGGGAAGGCACTTTGGTCTGGATGCAGTACTCGGCTAGCGTAGTTGGTACTTTTACTCCATCCCGCTCTGCATCTGCCTTAGTGGACATCACCTGCTTCCTGTGCGCGACGCAGACACAGTGTCAGAAAATCAATTCAGTTTATTGTTACAGCTCTAAATGTGACCACAGTCTACAAATATACACACAAAAAAAACAACTTACAGACCAAATAATTTCAAATGGTAAAGAAATTATTCAGCAAGGATGCATTAAATTGATCAAAAGTGACAGTTAAGACATTTATAATGTTATCAATAATTTCTATTTCAAATAAAAACTGTTCTTTTGAACTATCTATTAAGTAAGGAATCATGAAAAAATATTGCAGTTTCCACAAAAATATTAGGCAGCACAACTGTTTTCAACATTGATAATAATAAGACATGTTTTTTAAGCAGCAAATTAGAATGATTTCTGAAGGATCACGTGACACTGAAAACTGGTGTAATGATGCTGAAAATTTAGCTTTACCATCACAGAAATAAATCACATTAAAATAAAGAAAACACTGATTTTTAATTGCAAAAATATTTTACAACATTACTGTTTTAGCTGTATTTTTGATCAAATAAATGCAGCCTTGGTGAGAGACTTCTTTCAAAAACATTTTTAAAACATTGTTACAGTATAATTTCACTTCTTTTTCCAAAGAACAAGCAAATCATTGAGTTTTCTACTAAGGGATGTTTTGTTAGAAAAGAATGTCAATAAGAGAAAAGTTCAACATTTTTCACTAATGTTTACTTGCCCAAAGAGAAACAAAGACACTCAGGACAGTATGTCCTAAACTTCAGTGGGATGGTGCAATATAAGCGTGTTGGGCCAAAATTTGGCCTCAGCCAGTGTTTACTCTAGATCTCTGCCAACTTCAGTGGTATAATTCAATTTTGGTATTTCCTGAAGAATATGTAAGTATTGCTGCTATGCTGTAGATCCTCATGTTGCTGTTAGAGCATTGCTATACAGTTGCTACTGAGTTTTTGTGTGTTAGTATGTTGATGAATCTCTGATCACTGCACTCAACAAATTAATTAAGCTTCACTGCTTAAACGGTCAAAGCATACATGTCTCTATGATATTCTCATCTCTAGAAATGTCTTAGTTCCCCTACTTCAGAGTAAGTCTATGGATTTTTTTCACACGTTTTACGGTTCAATAGGCTACATTGTAAGTCTGATACAACAAGCCACACACTTTGAAATATTATTCAGTTCTGTAGTAGCACAGACAGTGCAGGAAAAGTTATACACTG